CTAGTAAGAAAACATTTGGACCGTTAGTTTCCATTGTTTTTAGATGGAACACCTACTTGCATCCATCTTTAAGATGGATGCTTTACACTTTTTGGACCGTGCATGTAGGAAGATTAGATTCAGAGGAGGGAGGAGGAAATGATGGAGCAAGGAAACATCACTATTTAGAAAGATTAGGGTGGAAAGCAGCCACAAATAAAATTCAGAAGTAACACCAAGATCAGGAGCAAGATCATGGTTTTGGAAAGGAAGCTCCTTGAATAAGAGGTTCTTGCAACTAAGGTTTAATGAGCTAAAGCATCTCATTGGAGATCAGCTCATAAAGAACACAATATCAAAATCCATTCTTAGAAGCTGCCATTTAAGTACCAGATTTCATAGATGATCTGCTCATTCCTCACTTGATGTACATAAAAAGCAAGCACATCCTATTTTCAATATATTGCAGCAATGCCATAAAACTATCTTTTCTATCATGTGCTCATGAATTACACCAGGGAATCTGGTTCAGTCCATAATTGAGGCCACCCCAATTTGGATGCAACCTTAACTCCTTGCTCTCAGGCCAATATCATGTCTGCCTTTGGATACAGTTGGAGTTTGTTTTATTAATTCTGTATGGAGAGGAATTTTTTATTTTCTTTTAACAGTATATGGTGATATAAGTACACTCTGAATTAACCTTCCTACATCTTTAATATCTTGCAGCCTTTCATCTTCATCTTGTTTGAGCCTGAGATTCTTTTATATAAGTTTGTATAAGTTTGTAGGATTATGCATCACTCTTACTCAACAATTCCATCCAATACTAAATTGCAATCATACAGTTGCTTCACTTGAATCTGTGAACTGCCTATGAAGTTATCATGCTTTCCCCCACACCTCATACCAAAAATATTTTAAATTGTCCATGAGAAAATAATCTTTTTGAATTGAAATTGAAGCTGTCTCCATGGATGTTTCAAATTATTCTTTAGAAAAAACTGTAGCTCCAAGATGAATGCACACAAGGATAGACAGATTAATTTGTAAATGGTCTAATGCACAGTGCCCAACATTAACTTAATAGTTCAGATGGATTTGGCTGACCATGCAGCCAAGCATGCCACTACCACCTGTTTCTGTTAAAAAAAAATCCTCACTTGCCTAAAACAGCATTCATGACATCTCCTTGTGAACTTCCACACAAATGATTTATCACAAAAAATAAAAAAATAAAACTTCCACACAAATTATTGCCTAAAACAGCATTCATGACATCTAATCCTTGAAACACATATTCAAAACTCTTTGAATAGACACTTCAGCACCCACAGGAAAAAGTGTCATCAAATCACACACTGTATAATGTCTCACATTTAAATTTTAAAATGCCCTTTGAGTTTTCCAAATCAGTAAGATATACTAAGAACAAGGCTAAGACAAGCAGAGTAAATCATTCTAAGCTAATAAAGCGTTGCATGTATTGTCCGGCAAACATTCCTCGTGTCATGTGGATAACGTTCACCTAGTTGAAGACAGCTCATCATATGAACTCTTCCATTTCAACAACTCTTAACATGCACCCATTACTATCGTTTGGTGTACTTTTGTGAGGCAATTCAAAAGCTAGGGGGTAAAATCATCGAATTCACATTCACGTTCCTTTCCCCAAGGACGTAAGAACTTCATTTATCTCATTTTTGATATTTTCATCTACTTGACTTGATCACTGAGTGCAATTGTTATAAAGTAGCCATACCAGAACCACAACTGTCACACACAACACTTACCTTACCTCACTAAGATATTTGTTCCATTCTATTCCCATTGAGCTACTCTCCCGCATTTCGACCATCTCCACGACCAATATCCTGGACATACGGTACACAGCCTTTTGATGCTTCCCTTCTGAATTTGTCACTCAGTTCCAATAACATACGAATGGGAGCAGACCTGTACATCGCCACACCTTTCATGGATCTAGTCTTTTATAGCAAGCCTCTTATCATTTTCCAAAGATTGAGACCTTAATACCCCCCTGTCCCTTCCCTCTGGTCTTGGGAACATGAACAGATTATACCCCATGATGTGACCAACTATGTTTTTTTTTTTTAGCATCATCCATATTTGATTATTATCTACAACTTTATGATCCCAAGTTTATGTTTACGATTGGTTGCCCTTGATGCTTGGAGATTTTGCGACCACACTTCTCTCGGGATTTTGTGGACCAAATCAACAGTCTTAGCGCCATGATGTGACCCAACTATGTTTTTTTTTTTAGCATCAACTATATTTGATTATTATCTACACAACTTTATGATCCCAAGTTCATGTTCTCTCAGGACTTTGTGGACCAAATCAACAGTCTTAGCGCTATCAGGATTCAGAACCATATTGAACTTTCACCATTTTCAATTTGCCGCCTTGAGATATATGATACATTTTCTCAAGCACAAATTTAATCAATGAAATGAAACGATCAACTAGCGTCTTACACAAATAAAATTGACTGAAAGATAGAAGGTTATTAGAAACATGCACAGTATATTCTATTGTGTAAGCTGTCATGCATTTGTTCTTTGATAAATCCCAAGTTTTGTCTTCTGAGACCTCCCTCCAAATGACACCTCCCCCACAACAACCCACCCCCCCCACCCAAAAAAAAGAAAAAAAGAAAAACCACCCCTCCTCATCAAGAGGATATTCCACAATGAACAGAATCATAAATTAATGATAGATCAAAAAGGTATCGTGTTCACAATTTTCAGTTAGGTGTTTTTGGAGTGCCCAAAGCCACAAATAAAAAGAAAAGCATAATAGATTTTCTAAATTCCAATATACAGCTTAGAAATCAACGAAATCATCACATCTCAAAAAATGACCCATCCATTAAGCATGATAAGCAACCCTTTAATAAAAAAGTAAAGTGAAAGAGAAGCGCATAAGAATCAAACCTTTGTAGAGGCACCAGATTATTTGAGCCACCAGGGGCAAACACATTCGAGTAAGACTTGGTGAGATAAGCAAAGTTGGCAATGGGGGGAAGAGCAGGCACTCTCTCGCCCTTCCTAAGCAGCGATTGCAAGTCCAATCTCTGCAATGTTAGTACAGCATTTGATTCCTTCCATACAAATGCAAGGAGCCCATTTTGAGTCACAAACAAAGTGCCTGGCTTGGACCCAGGGTACCTAAACCCATAGCCATTGGCAATTCCCTCTCCACTGTAAGCCTGAACTATCTCCACTGAGAGGGAATCCCCATAAGTTTGCCATGGAAATGGATCGAAAGAAGGCTCATTAGCCTTCACTATAAACATTGGAGACCCATTAGGATGAAGCACATAATGGGTCCCTTCCAATATCTTTGTAGCAATAAGAAGTCTCCCCTCTTCTGCCTCCTCATAAGAAATCAGGAGGAAAAACAAGGCTTTTCCTGGTTTATCCTGAGCCAAAATCCCTGGTGGCCAACCAAAGGTCCCACCCCAAAGGCCTGCAAACTCCTGATCCACACAAGGTACTGGTTCAGGAAGCTTGTAGAGAGCAAATCGATTATCATGCATAATAGGCCATGCTCGATAAGTAGATAGCTTCAATGTCGAAGCATGCAAGCACAGCCCAATTGTAGTTCCTAGTGAGAGAAACTTGTGAAGTTGGGTGTGCTTGTTGTCACTGCTTGAGCTCCCCCTACATCTTAGACCTGAGGTTCCAGCCATCCCAGCTCCCTTTCCAATTATCTGTTTAAGGCCATCTTTGAAATATGCCTTTAGGCTTCTCTTTTTGGTTTTCTGCAAATTGTTTGAAGACAAGACATGAGAGCTCATTTCGGAGAGGTTCATCATGCTTCTGCCTACATCAAGGCCTAATCTATCTCTAGAAAACTTTATCTCTTTAGAATCCATGGTATGGCACAGTGCCTTAGCGGCAACATCCATTTGGATGCCATCAAGTTGTGTCCCTGAGGTGGGTGTTCTGTCACTAGAATCCCCAAGCTTATACATATCGACAAGTATTGACCTCCGTTCAGTAAGCTGCAGAATTTCCCTTTGAAAACTCGCTTCAGGGTCCTCTTCATTACTAAAAGACTCTTTTGATCCAGGAAATAACGGTCCATTAACAAAAGAAGAAATTCTCATTCGCACTTGACTTGCGACAAGCTCAAGCAATTTACGCCTCTCTCGAAATGCTAATCGACCAAAGGGAACTGACTCAGTAGCCTCTTGTACCTCCACTCTCTGTGATATCGAAACTTTGGACTCTGATCTAGAAACCGATCTCGAAAGATTGGAATTTGAGTTAAGTGAGCTCTTAGTCTGCAGTAGCTTCCCTTTCGTTATTCGATCAAAAGCCTGAATTTCGCCTCTCCTAGGCTCCACTTCAAGTAAAAGAACATTACAATCTTTGTTTATGGGCTTCAAAGAACCAGGATAAAAGTAGTCCTGATCTATCTCTCTACCATGAAGATAGAAAACCAGTGAACCATCTGATTCACTAATGATTTCAAACACAGGGGCCCAAAGTAGAGGGCTATTGAAGCCTTGAGGACCGAGTTCTTGAGAAATTACGCGACAAGCGACTAGAGAGAGAAAGCCCCACATGACATACACCACATTCCCAAGCTCTGGGTTCTGATGAACCCACATTCCAATCAGAGGCCTAACACTAAGGAGAAAGCGACAAAGGGCTTTATAAGAAGCCATGGATTTTCTCCATAGGATCAAATCCTCAGCTTTAAGAGCACCCAATCTCTCGCACTGAGAGAACCAGACCTTATCAGAAACGGCGAAACCAGTGAGGCTTTTGCAACACAAGCTAAGATTACAGACATCTCTAGGGCAAAGAAATTTTGATATCACCGCGAGCACATCATCTGGTAACGTTTGGAGGAAGTTCGAGCTTTGATATTGGGAATCAAGCTCTTCATGGGCTCCAATTTCTAGAGGACCACCATAGCTAAGAGAAGGAACTGGCTTCTCTTGTAAAGGGCAAGCCATGGCCGCCATGTTCTACAGTCGAAACCAGCAAGAAGAGCCTCAAAGAAAACCCATCAAAGAATTGTGCATTTGGGTTTCAAATTCTGAACAATTATTCACATTTCATCAAATTTACAGAGGAAACCCATCAAAATAAAGTTTCAAATTTCAATCTCTCTCTCTCTCTGAAACAATGAACCCTATAAACCTAGACGAAAGAATACTATCTTCTTCTCTAATCTCGACTCAAAAAGGAATACCAATTCATGCAAGACCAGAAGAAAGCCACAAACCTTGCCTTCCACTACAAATCCAAAAACTACCCAAGATGCAGCCACAACTGGAAAAGTGACCCAACTCAGGGTTCTCTCTCTCTACCTCAGATTGAGCTACTCCAACAAAACGAGATCCAAGTCTTTCTCTCTCTACTCCTAATCCATGAACTAACCATGATTTTATAATCCTACTTCCTACAACACCATACCCACAATCATGGGTTAGACTACCATCCTGCAAAAGCTCAAAAACAAGAGAGAGAGAGAGAGAGAGAGAGAGTCTAGAAAGAGAGTAATAAAGTGAGATAGAAATA